TTCTCTAAGGTCAGCGTTCCTCTCCACAGTGCCGCTTCCTCACTGGGCCTGGGGCCCTCTGCCCCACTGATCTGCTCACAGTGACACCAGCACCCCCTCCCCCCGGATGGCCCTGTTTGCAGGAAATGGCATAGCGAGCTTCACGGACCCCAGACCCTGCCCAGCACCCCCACGGGAATCCACACAGTATGGAAACATCCTAGAGTATAACCCCCGGGCCAGGCTCCTGTCTGTGTGGTGTATCCACCCTCGATTCATTGCCCACCCCCACAGGCTCGGCGCCTCTCTGTGGCTGACTGTTCTTCCAGCGGTGTGGGCCTGGCACAGGCAGGAGCATCTCGCTGGCCTTGCTCCTCACATTCCACCTTCCCTGTAGTGTCTCTGGTCAGCATGAACTGGACTCACAAGTATGAGTTGGAAACGAGATTCTCTGAGGTCCAAATAATCATTGCTGCAGGCTTCCTGCCATAGCAGAGGACCAGGAAAACTCTAGACCTATAGGGAATAGTTATTTAGTCAATGGATAAAACACGACTGAAGAAGATAACTGAAAATGGCCCTGGGCCACTGGAACACAGCAAGAGGTACCTAGGTGCCTGGGAAACACGGCCTTTCATCCAGAGACAACCCAGCAGCAGCCCCCAAACACGCTGGAGCGTGCCGTTCTGAGCCTCAGCAACACACAGCTTCACCCACTCCCGTGGTGCCCAGGGACTTCACCCAGGAACCAAGGGCCTGCAGGGACAGGCCGAGTCCAAGCACGTCTGGCGGCAACCACCGCTTCACCCACTCACAGCTCCTCTTCTCCACCACCCCACCCTGTTCCTGAACCTGCCTCCGTTATCAAGTGCCAAACCGCCACCTCCCACACATTCCCTGCAAGTCACGCCCACCCCCCTGCTCAAAGCTGAATTCCAGATGCTGCGACAGGGGTGCACGTGATGTTTACTCAACTGTACACTCTGCGGCCCAGGGTGGGACAGGCTGGATCCCAGCACTGTAGGGAGGCAGCGCATGGGGTGGAGTGAGGCCTGCCAGGAGGAGGAGGCAGTGGCTGATGGGTGACAGTGGCCTGGTGTTGCCTGGGGCTCACATCAACGTGGCTTCACCCTGTGTCAGGCACTGTCCTGTGAGATCTACATGAGTGAGTTCATTTACTGCTCATGACCCCTCATCGGGCGGAGGTCTACATCTACCAAAAGAACATACGCAAATGTCCAAGTCCTACGAAACCTGGCTTCAACCTTCCAAGACAACGATTTTCCTCACAAAGACAGATGTCCTAACAGAGGCGCCAGTCTCCTTTGGGTGCCTGGAGGCCTGGGCGCTGCACCCTTTCCAGCCTGCAGCCAACTCCCAGGTCATAGCCTCTGAATCCTCTCCCATCCTATCCCGCCTCATCCTGTCAAGGCCCCTGTGGGCTATGCAGCTATCTGTAGGTCCCAGCCTGCGAGAAAGCCCATGTCCCCCACTGGGCTTCTCCAGGACAAAGATGGCACTCACCCCACCCTTCCTTCCTGTGGCCAGGGCCAAACACAGAGACTCAAAAAGGGCAAAACATTCAAAAAAGGATCACTGGATGACTGACAATAGGGAGGTAGGAGGAAGGAGAGAAGATGAAAGAAAAAAAAGAGCAAGAGGAAGAGAGGGTAAGGAGGGGTGGGAAGAAGGGAGACGGGAGGGAAGAAGGGGGGAATAAGGGAGGGAGGAGGGAGGAGGACAGCGGAAAAGGAAAGAGGAGGGAGGAGGAAGCAGGAGGAGGGGGAGGAGGGAGGAAAAGGGAAGAGGAAGAAGGAAAAGGGAGGAGGAGGAGGAAAAGGAAGGAGGGGGAGGAGGAGGAGGAAGGAGGAGAAGAAAGGAGGAGGGAGGAAAAGGAAGGAGGGGGAGGAAAAAAGGGGGGGAGGGGAAGGGAGGAAAAGGAAGGAGGAAGGAGGAAAAGGAAGGAAGAGGAGGGTGGAGGAGGGAGGAAAAGAAAGGAGGAAGGAGGAGGGAGAAGGAGGGAAGAGGAGGGAGGAGGAGGGAGGAAAAGAAAGGAGGAGGGAGGAAAAGGAAGGAGGAGGGGGAGGAGGAGGAAAGAGGGGGAGGAGGAAGGAGGAGGAGGAGGGAGGAGGAAGGAAAAGAAAAGAGGAAGTAGGAAAAGGAAGGAAGAGGGGGAGGAAGGAGGAGGAGGAAAGAAGGGTGAGTAGGAGAGAGGAAAAGGGAAGAGGAGGGAGGAAGAGGGAGGAACAGAAAGGAGGAGAGGGGAGGGAGAAAAAGGAAGGAGGAGGGAGGAAAAGGGAGGAGGAGGGAGAGAAGGAAGTAGCAAGGGCAGAGAGAGCAGCTGGGCACTTCCCAGGGCACTCTTGGCCTCAGGAAGGCTTTGCAGCCACCAGCCTACTGACGCCCGAGGTAAGACGCGTGCTCCAAGCTCTTTTGGGGTGAGGAGGAGAAGCCACACTCAGCTGAGTGACCACAACCATGTCTCAGTTGTCAGTCACCTCCTGCGGGTCACCATAAAGGAATGTGCCTAATCATCACCAAAGACCTGAAGGTGGGGAACACCCACCCTTGAGGTGCCAACTCCAGAGCCCTGCTGCCGTGGCAGTGGAGTGCCAGGGGACCAGACGAGGGCAGGTGTAAATCCGACCAGCATCACCACCAGCCTTTCTAGGCCACGACTTCCAAGATGGAATCCTGGACCCAGCTCCAGGGCTGCTGGCGGAGTAAAGTGCTGGCACACAGCATGTGCTCAGTAAAGGCTCAGGCCCTTTGCCCAACAATCCCGAAAGTCCTGGGAGACGTGGCTTAGGGAAGTACTCCCAGACAGGGCAGAAGATGTGAGGGAGCGCTGGAGCGGAGACTGTCTCCGGTTCACCCTCCCTCCTGCTCCTAAGCACAGGGATGGAGTGGAGTGGCTATGAGAGGACAAACTTCCAGCCCCAGGTCTCTGCTCCTTGGGGCAGAAGAACGGTGCTGAGAAAATGAGCCGTTAAAAATGATGAGCCTTCTTCGATGGGCAACACGGTTGGTTCCATGTTTTTCTATTGTGAATAGGGCTGCAACAAACATACGTGTGCAGGTATCTTTTTGGTAGAATTATTTCAGTTCCTCCGGGTATATTCCCAATAGAGGAATTGATGGATTTGGAGTCGATCATACTGAGTGATTTATCACAGAAACAAAGAACAGAGTTCCATATGTTGTCACTCGTAAGCAGACCTTGAACAATTATAATGTTATAAGAAAGTGACTGGTAGTAGTGGGAAACTGTCAGGGGAGGGGGTGGGATTGGCAGTTGAGGGAAACTGC